GCTTGGATTAATTTCAGTTGAATTCCATTTTTCTTGAAAGTCATGGCCTTTAATGTGATTAAAAAGCTAGCTATTGGTGAAAAGAAAGGAGACTTTCTTCTCTTTAATTCACATGTTACTCAGAAGACATCCCTTAAAAACTGCTGGTTTAAACTAATCTGATAGTAATTTTTAGGTATTGTAACTTTTTAGTGTTAGTGAAACACATTATATGACATACTGCAGTCCTGCTCTTTTTATTTTATTTTTTTTAATAAACTAATGGATGATATAGCTTTATGTGAAATAAACCTGTCAATTCTTCCAGTTTTTAGGTCAAAAACTTTGATATATTTTTATCTTATACCCAGCATCTACCCCATCAGCAAACCATAAATCTATCTTCAAAATATATCTAGAATCTGATCACTTCTCATCAGCCCCGCTATTCCCACCCTAGTCCAATCCAGAACCATTTCTCACTGATTATTACGGTAGCTTTCATAACCATTTCTACCCTTGCTTCTCTTTAGTTTCTTTCAACATGTCAGGTAGAATGATCTGGTTCATCACTGTGTCAAATCATGTCACTCCCCTGTTATAAATCCACCAATGATTCCTGATTTACTCACTGTAAAAGCCAGAGTCCTTAACCTTATGTAGACCATTCTTTGAGATGGCCCCTTATTATCTTTCTGGCCTCATCTTTTACTATTCTCCACTTGCTTATTTTACTCTATACTGGCCTTCTTGCTAATCTTTGTACATGTCAGGTACATTTTTTTTCATCAGAACATTTTGTACTTGCTCTTCTGACTGCTGGATTGCTGTTCCCCTATATTTCTGTGTAGATCATTTTCTCACTACCTTGAAATATTCAAGTGTCAATTTCTCATTGGGGCTTTTCTGAATACCCCGTATAAAATTGCAGCCTGTTTCCAAGCCCAACACTTCCTATTCCCCTTCCCTGCTTTATTATTTTCTTAGCATTTATCACTATCTAACCTTATTACATAAAATCTTTCTAATTTATCTTGTTTATCTGTCTCTTCCACTAAATTTTAAGCACTGTGAAGGGATTTTTGTTTGTTTTATTTACTTTTATATCCTGGCATTTATATCAGTTTCTGGTATGTAGTCAGTACTCAATATATAAATTGTTGAATGAGTGAATATTTAAGAAATTTGGGATTTTCTGGGAGAGTATTGGTAAGTATGCAGTTAGTTCATTGTGGGTGCAGTGGCCAGTCCTAAAAATGTCCATTGGTGGCACTGTTTGAAGTCTGGACTGACTTCCAAACCACTGGAATGTCTGTTAGACATTTTCCATCTTCTGAGCTTTATTGAATACACTGTAAAACAGACATATGATGGTGTTGTTACTCAAACTTATATTTATTTGGGACCAGAAAGATCTCTTTCTCCAGTTTTAAAGATGCTTTGCCATGGGTGCTGTTTAAAAGGGTGGCATGTTAATATCTAGACTATCTGCGATAGAAAATTTGGATATTTGCTATTGTCCACTCTTAGGGAAGAGTGTTTTCTAGTTGTCGCAATTGACCAGGAACTGGCTGGTTAGGTCAGTTGGTTAGAACGCGGTGTTATAAGAACGCGATGTTATAACATCAAGGTCAAATGTTCAGACCCCCGTAACTGCCAGCTGCCAAAAAACTCCAAACAAACAAAAAAGGAAGTTTCAGTATTGGGACTATAGAGATTTATCCAAGGGGACTTTTTAAAAATCAAAATTATGTATGGTTTAAAAAAATAGGATTAAGACAGAATGCCTTATAATGAAAAGCAACAAGCCTCCTCTTTCACCATTTCCAAGATAGTCTTTCCTCTCAGAAGCAATCATTTAAATTTCTTTAGCTGTTTCTTCTGCTGGAATTAATCATCATTGCTAGCTGCTGCTCAAAGTACATTACAGAGCTTTTGGTCTTTTTTTAAAATTACCCTGTGAGGTTGATACTGTCATCATCAGCATACTAACACATGAGCAAACTGAGGCACAAGGAGATTAAATAATTAATCATGCTTATACAGTTAATACCTGGAAGGGCTAGGATTTAACACAGGCATCATGACTTTATTACCTGTACTGTTTACTCCTACAGTATATTGCTTCCATTTCATTAAATATTATGATGGCATTATGGTTTCTTGATATATTCCTTGAATTTGTTGTGACAGATGAAGATTTAGCTTTTTTATATCAACAGTCTGGGGGCAAAAGGGTAAATGCTTGGCCGGGTTGTTCTGGGAGAGGTAGGAGGAGATTGGCTTCCTCTGTGTCAGTGCTGTTCCAGCTATCTGTTATTAAAGATGATTTTTTCCAAATCTTTTTGTCATAGATTGACATTTTAAAAAATAGAATGAAAATGGATTGCTACCAAAAAATAGAATTATAAAAAGAAATACAGTACAGCAGGCCCCATTTAAAAACTTATATTCAACAACATATTCTGTCAAATTGCTATAGAAAGTGAAGGTTCTAGGGCCGGCCCGGTGGCGCACTGCTACAGTGCGCCGCTTGGGGGTGCGGTGGCGCTCCCGCCGAGGGTTCGGATCCCACATACAGACCGGTTCCCGCTCGCTGGCTGAGCGAGGTGCGGGCGCAGCACCGAGGGTTGCGATCCCGTTGCCAGTCCCGGTCCGGTACGGGCGCGACACTGAAGGTTGCGATCCGTTGCCGGACACGAAAAAAGACAAAAAAAAAAAAAAAAAAAGTGAAGGTTCTAAACTTTCCGTTTTTGTACTTACCTCTTCAGAAGTTGGTAACACTTAGTTCTTTGAGTTCTTGGACCAGCACTTGTCCACTAGCCACACTTTGAATAGCCCTGCCCTGTTCATATTCAGGCTTCCAATTAACCCCTCTCTTTTCAATCACATTTCAATACTGCTTTTTATCATAATTAGCATCTCCTTGTATTGTGCCTCTCCTTGTATTGGGGTTATGCAGGGTAGATTGGCTTCCTTTTAGATTTTATTCTGTCTGTGGGTTTCCCTACCTTGATTCATCGGTTACTTCTGTATCTGCTTTTTGTCTTATGGGAACTTGTTCAAGTATCTTTATCGCTAACCATTCTCCTCCTTTTGTCCTTGTTAATGTGGCTTTAAGTCACTTTTTACTTCTTATCATTTTAATAGGTTTTAGGAGGGACGATAGGGAAATGTTTATGGTAAGTGTGTTGCTACTGTGACTTGGAAGTCTGCCAAAGATTTTTTTCCCTTTTAAAATTCTGAGCAGGTAATTGTGGAGACTTGGCATCTAAGGCAGTTAGATACTCTTGTGCAGGATGTACACTGAACAATCATCGTGTCTGGTCAGGGGACAGTTGGGCTTACAGTCTACATTTTCTCATTAAGGCTTGTGCCCTCTTATGGGCCTGTAAGAGAGAGTTCATATTTCTAATTCCACAAAGGCACCAAACCATTTGATTGTGGTGCTGCATCCAACTTAAGGGAGTGCCTTTTTTTATTTGCAAAGAGGTATATATGTCTTGATGAAGACCCTCAAATATTGAAATATCCCTTTCTCAAAATTGTATGAATTAGATATGTATTGTATCATATTAAATAGCTCCTGACATATTCAGTGAATTGGTTGTTGGTTCTTCTCTGCCCTTCCTTTTCCTTTAACCCCCAGATCTCAGTTGTCTTTCTCATGTCCACTATAGCCCATGTGTCCTCTTTTTTTTTTATATGTTTTTTCTCATCGTGTTGTAATCATGTGTAACATGTCTGACTTTGCCATTAGACTTTACATCCCTACATTCTAAGGTAGTGTTTATGTCCAGGGAATTTTTTTTGAAGGGATGAGTGAATTTTCATTTACAGTTTTAAGTGTCATTGTATCATCAGTAAGGATTGGATTTGTATGCCAGTAACAGAAAATGTGATAAACACTGGCTTGAGCAAATGAAGATTTACTTTTCTCATGTAATGAGAAGTCCAGAGGTAGGCAATCCAGTACTGACATAGCTGCTCAAGGATATCATAAAGGAACCAGTATCCTGTCTTCCTAGCTTAAGGTTTTGACTTCATGGTCACAAGATGGCTGTTGTATCTCTGGATGCTGCATCAGAGTTTTAGGAAGGAAAAAAAGGGAATGATAAAATGAAATGTCTTTTTACAAGGCTTTGTATTTTTGTTCAGGTAGAGTGTCTTCTCAGGGAGTGATTTCATTGGTCAGGACTATGTCATATATGGCTAACCCTAACTTCAAAGAAGGCTGGGATTTTGAATGTTCTGCTTTTGATCCTCTATAGGAAAGCAAAGGAGAACAGGATTGGAATTCTAGTAAAATATACTCAAAGTTTTGGAAAGTAGTATATGATAGTGGTTAAGAACATAGACCTGAATTTGAATTTTGACTTTGTTACTTCCTAGCTATGTGACTTTGACAGCTCTGTGTGCCTCAGTTTCCTTATCTATAAAATGCGTCTAGTAATAGGTACCTACCTACCTCAATGTGTTGTTGAAAGGACTAAATGAGTTAATATATGTCATGGGTTTAATGGATGTAGTTTGTTCTGTTTTAAGTATTGACTATCATTATTGTCTTTATTACCTAGAAGTATGTTGAGACTGGAATTGTAAATTTATCACCCAGGAAATTAGTTTTCCTTGGAATAGGAAAGAAAAGAGAGCATTTAGATTGGCAGGTCTACGTAGGTAATTTTGAATACTGGAAGAAGATGGTAGAACTTTCTTACAGGCTCTGTTGACTGCATTAAAAGTTATGGACTGAGTTAAAATATTGGAACCATTTAAATTTCCTCATTGAATTCATGTTGGAGCTTGCTGGCCGTTAGGGTAATCTTGAATACATTGTCATTTTACTGGCAATCCCCTAAAGTTCAGCTCAATAGAAATTTCATCACTCATCAATAGAATATATGAAGACATAGCTCTTAACTATTAAAATATGATTTCATTGGTATTGTTTCTGTCCTTTTCCAATTTGTAATCACTGTACTTAAAAAAAGGTATTAATTATCTTTCTATTTTCTTTTTAGCCCCATCTGCTTTGATATGATTGAGGAAGCATACATGACAAAATGTGGTCACAGCTTTTGGTAAGATGATTTTTTATTCAGTGAAATAGTCTTTTGACATTTTTTAAACTTATGTGTGTAAGTAACCAATGAGAAGCGAGGCTTTTTAATCTAATTTTGATTATCTTGTAATCATTGTTTCCTTGACTGATACATGTTTACAGGATTGACAGTTCAAGATAGTTGAGTATGGTTGATGCATAAATTCTGTGAAATATTTAAATTTGCCACAGCCTTACAAATGGATTTTAAAACTTTTGCATTTATTAATTGTTAAAGAACTTTGATTGTCATTTCAGAAAGTTGGGGGTTCTGGGTATTCAGGACGAAGTGTGAAGCACCAGTCACTCATTTGTGATAGGATGCCCAATAAAGCAGGCTGAGAAGAACATTGGAAAAGGATATAGAGGATTAAAAAGTTTTGTGTTCTCTTCTTTAACACTTTGCTTAGTGTTATCTTGAGGTTCTATCATGTCACATTAGCCTGTATTTAAAATTTTTTTAATTGTGGTAAAATACACATAATACAGAATATAGTCTTAACTGTAGTGTTAAGTATGTTCATATTCCTGTCTGGTTATCTCCAGAACTTTTTAATCTTGCAAAACTGAAATTCTATAACCATTGAACGACTACTCCCCATATCCACTTTGCCATAGCACTTGGCAACCATCATTCTACTTTCTGTTTTTATGAACCTGACTACTCTAGATACCTCATATAAATGGGATAATTTATTATTTGTCTCTTTATGACTGGCTTATTTCACTTAGCATAGTGTCTTCAGTGTTCATTCATGTTATAGCACGTGTCAGAATTTCCTTTTTAAGGCTGACTAAATAATATTCCATTGTATGTGTATACCACGTTTTGTTTATCCTTTTATCTACTGTTGCATACTAAAATTGCTTCTACCTCTTGGCTGTTGTGAATAATGCTGCTATGAACATGGGTATACAAATAGCTCTTTGGGATCCTGCTTTCAATTCTTTTGGATATATACCAAGAATTGGAATTGCTGGATCATATGTTAACTTTATTTTTAATCTTTTGAGGAACTGCCATACTATTTTCCATAGTGGCTGCATCATTTTATGTTCTCACCAACAGTGCTCAATGGTTGCGATTTTTCCGCATCCTTGCCATGACTTGTCATTTCTGTTTGTTTGTTTGATAGTAGCCATCCTAATGGTTTTGTAATCTGTGTATTTTTAATTCCTGTTTTTGTTTGTTTTTTGACTGGGAGTGGTACATTGTACTTGTGATGAGTCTTCATCATAAATTACCTACTTGGTTGGCGTATTATTTCAGCCTTGGTATTTCTGTTCTGTTCTTTTTTTTTTTTTTTTTTTAAGATGACCAGTAAGGGGATCTTAACTCTTGACTTGGTGTTGTCAGCACCACACTCTTCCAAATGAGCTAACCGGCCATCCCTATATAGGGATCCGAACCAGTGGCCTTGGTGTTATCAGTACCACACTCTCCCAAGTGAGCCATGGGCTGGCCCGTCCTGTTCTGTTCTAATAGTCCTTATGATCTAATTCATACTGAAGTTAGGCCCATAATTTTATGCTGAAGTTGAATAAGATATCTGACAGGTTGATATCCCTTAGTCATGAAGAGTATTGGGTGTCAACACCAGTGTGTAAGTTTTTTAGTTTCATCTGGAGCATGATGTTTCAGTGATAGGTATGAGGGTACTTCAAAAAGTTCATGGAAAGGACCGGCCTGTGGCTCACTTGGGAGAGTGCAGTGCTGGTAACACCAAGGCCATGGGTTCGGATCCTATATAGGGATGGCCAGTTTGCTCACTGGCTGAGCGTGGTGCTGACAACACCAAGCCAAGGGTTAAGATCCCCTTACTGGTCATCTTTTTTTTTTTTAAAAAAAAAAAAAACCTCATGGAAAGACTAGTATTATCTTTTAATTCTATTTTTCCACAAACTTTTTGAAGTACCCTTATATATCCAATCTGATAGTCATTGCAAAAGAAGTTTAGAATAAAAATAGCCTTCTTAGTTTGCATTATCTATGTTAGTTATTATAAAATAAAAAAGTATCAAAATGATAAGAGCAATGTATGTGCTTGGCTAAAAAAGCAACTTTTATTGTGCAGTAAGATGTAATGTGAAACGTAAATGTCCCTCTTCCCCTGGTATTTCTTTCCTACCTCCTCGGAGGTCGTCACTGGTAAGGAATTATTGTATATTCTTTGAAAATCTTTTTTCTGTTTTTTTTTCTGTTTTTTTTGAAGACCAATTTTGCCTTGAGTAATTTATATTTTCTTGTACATCATTGCATTGACTTTATGACTTATGAATCACTTTTTTCTCTGTATTGCTAATGAAATTGTGTTCATGTGGATTTTGCTTTTAGGCTGATAGATTATGGTCTTGGTCTTTTCAGGCTGATAGTTTAGCAATAGTGTTCTCTTTGGTCCATAAATTGACTCAGCACATTAGCCTTCCATAGGAAACCATTTACTTCTCTCAGAGATTTTGGATTTTGATTACTCTGGAAAATTGGCTGATCTGCAGTAGGCTTGGCACTATTGACATATTAGACCAGATAATTTTTTGTTGTGGGTGACTATTCTAGGCACTGTAGATTATTTAGCAGTGTTCCTGGCTTCTATATATTAGTAACTCCTCTTCCCCCAGCTGTGATAACCAAAAATGTCTTGCCCTATATTTCTTGGGGGTGGCAAAATTACCCTCAGGTGAGAACTACTGTTCTAGAGCTAAAAGAGCAAGCTCTTAAGGTTGGTAGACCAGGATTCTACTTCTGGCCCTAAAACTTCACTGACCTTTGTCCAGTCACTCCACTTACCTCTTCTTCTACCCCACTCTTGCTCCTCTTCCTTCTCTTCCTTCCTCTTCCTTCTCTTCTTCTCTCTTTTTCCCTCTTCATCCCTCTTCCTTCTTCTTCCCCCTCCTTCCTTTTCCTCATCCTCTTCCTACTTCTTCACTTCCTTTTCTTTTGTAGATTTAAAAGTGTTGAAGTGCAAAACAGATTAAGTGGAGTTTTTATTATTCCTGGTGTCCTCTTCTAACTTATATATTCACTGTGACATTTAAAAAGTTTCTGCATCAGTTCAGTAATCTAACTTCACTATGTTGTGAAGTGTAATAAATTACTGATTGACCTTATAACTGGACAGTTTTGGCCTTTTCAGTGAATCCTGTAATCTCCATGGTGTCTTTAGGTCATTGTTGTAAAGCCCCATTGGTTTCTTAAGTAGCCGTTTTTTTCTCACATTAAAACAGTTTAGGCTTAGATACTTGTTACAGTTTAAGTTATTACTATGTCATACCCTTATGTGACTATCTTTTAATATACCTACCAGAGAGCAGGTTTTTGATAGGATAGAGACTATAACATTGGCAGGAGCTAATAAAACTGGAAGTTGACAGTCTTTTTTTTTTTTTTTTCCTTTTTTTGTCTTTTTTCATGTCGGCAACGGATCGCAACCCTCAGTGTTGCACCCGTACCGGACCGGGACCGGCAACGGGATCGCAACCCTCGGTGTTGCTCCCACACCTCGCTCAGCCAGTGAGCGGGAACCGGTCTGTATGTGGGATCTGAACCCTCGGCGGGAGCGCCTCCACACTCCCAAGCGGCGCACTGTAGCAGTGCACCACTGGGCCGGCCCGGAAGTTGACAGTCTTAATGTTAGGCTTGCTGTACTGTGAAGCTTCTTTGCAGTTTTATTTAAAGCAAAAGTTCATAAGTATTTATCCTATTCTAACATGTGAGGCCTATGGAACTTCAGTAATTAACAGCTTGTT